GCAAAGCTTCAACTACAAGACACAAAGGTTCCTTTGAAATATTCTGAATGACATTTAAGTTCTATTATTTTCCTAAATGGTCCGCTTATCAGCTTCGAAAATACCATGAAAGATCTGAAACATATTTCACTTACACTTACTTAATATTAAGTAAACTTACTCCTCAGGTCTGTTGGTCGAAAGTGCAGTTAATAATGCACTCTTAATTTACAACTACATTATATTTAACAAAATACTGAAGCAATTCTTCTTACAGTTAACAATATATCTATGACTATCTTACAGTTAACAATATATCTATGACTAACAATAACTATGGCACCTGCTAAATGTTGGCCTTGGTAAAATAAAACATGTATAGAGGAAACACTCAAGATTCCTTTTGAACCTGCCTAGCCTTATGTATTAGAATACAATCCAATTTAACAAAAATATTTACTAAATTATGCCTAATAAAATATGCATGATAGAATACACAAAGAAGTCGGGACACAACAAACATAATAATAAGAAACAGGTAAAAATTAATTAAAACAAAAATGAAATATTCCAGAAAATATTTGGAAATTTTTTTTCATAATAGCAATTTGCAATTCTAATTCAGTATATACTAGTTGTTCTGTAAATTAGCCTCTTTGCAGAACTTGACACCCGTGATCATTTGAATGTTGTCCACGGCTCCTCCGAGCAACCTAAGGCATGGCAAGATGTATGAGGTATTCGACAGGTTTTGCTCTTGGTATTATCCTTATGAATTCTGATATCAAGGAACCGCTGTAGATTTTAGGGAGATCACGGAGCATCAAGTAGTTTCAATGATTCAAGTAGTTTCTCTCGGCTATTATTATTATTATTATTTATTATTATTATTATTATTATTATTATTATTATTATTATTATTATTATTACTGAAGATGGTATTATTATTCATAATTTTTTTTATTCCCTATTCCCTATATATTTTTGTATTCCCTATTTCCTTTACAGGCTCCCTTTTATACCTTCCTCTCTCTCTCTCTCTCTCTCTCTCTCTCTCTCTCTCTCTCTCTCTCTCTCTCTCTCTCTCTCTCTCTCTCTCTCTCTCTCTCTCCCTCTCTCTCTTTTTTTCTTATTTTCTCTCTTTAATAGACAGAATGATTCCATGATCTTCAACAGAAACCTGAATAGGAGACAATATATTCCAGAACCAACAGAAAACTCAACAGAAGATACTATTCCAGAGGTACCACGAGCCTCAGCAGGAGATGATAACATATTCCAGAAACACTGGATATCTCAACCATATTTATAATCAAATAAACACACCAATGACGACACAACCAGCAGTGGTCTCGTCGTATAAACACAAGCAGGTAATTCCCCACCAACACCCGCTTGCAATGTCAACACCAACTATTCCATTGGGAAATTTGCAACTTGCAACTAATATAAATCGCATTGCACTATTGTTGCTCCTTAAATACAACGAAAATAATATTAATTTGTTAAATGTTGAAAGTGATACTAACTATGAATTTATGAGAGGAAAGAAAAACTTTTACGGTTCATAGTACTGCAACTGAATATCATGAACTTTGCATCACATTTCAGAGTGTAGGATATTCGCTTGAATATTTAATTGGATACAGTAAGACTTTGGGATGAAACGTAATATTGTGTTTCTCGGCATTCCTAATTTTGAAGTAAATGTAGTCGATTAGAATATAATGTTTTAAAGGAAGATTTTACATGTTTTGGGATTTAGGGAAACTTATATGATAATGCACACACACACACACACACACACACACACACACACACACACACACACACACACACACACACACACACAGGGTTGATAAAGACAGGCTGTTTAACACAAGGGGCACACGCACTAGGGGACACAGGTGGAAACTGAGTGCCCAAATGAGCCACAGAGATATTAGAAAGAACTTTTTTTGTTTCAGAGTGGTTGACAAATGGAATGCATTAGGAAGTGATGTGGTGGAGGCTGACTCCATACACAGTTTCAAGTATAGATATGATAGAGCCCAATAGGCTCAGGAACCTGTACACCTGTTGATTGACAGTTGAGAGGCGGGACCAAAGAGCCAGAGCTCAACCCCCGCAAGCACAACTAGGTGAGTACAACTAGGTGAGTACAACTAGGTGAGTACACATGCAGAAGTTCTAATATAATAATTTCTTTCAAAATCTCGTTTATCGTTTACGTCTGACTAATTCTAGGATACGCTACACCGGCGTAGGGTCCTTATCTCGTTAAATACTAAACAAAACTGGGGAAAGTCCAGATGTATGTCACTAAACTAGTACCAGAGCTGAAAGGCATGAATCTCGAGTTCAGACTTCAGGTATTAAAAAATACGTCACTGCAAAAGAGAAAAACAGGGGAAATATGATTACCACATACAAAAAAACTCAGGAAGATAGACAGTACAAGCAGGCACAGATTATTTAGTAGGGGGTACCACACGAATATAAATAGAATTAAGTACCCAAATGAGCTCCAGAGACATAATAAATGATTCGTTCACAGTGAATAATTGGAATGGGCTGAGATATGAAGTGGTGGAGGCCGACTCCATACATATCTTTAAATATAAATATGGCAAAGCCTATTGGGCTATACACCAACCGATGTGCCGAAGGAAGAGATAGCAAAATCTGATTGAATAGATTAAATTTAAATAAGAAAACAGAATTTTAGGGAGAAATGGATTGGACAGCAGGTAACGCGAGATTCAAGAGCTGGCTTTTGTCTCATTGAGACCATTTAGGGAAGTATACACATATATACAAAACCTACACATAAAGGTCACTTCACCATAAACAAATTCGTTTATGACCACCTATCACCTGTAGTTGTCTTTACAAACTCTCATACCTCGTCCCTTTAACATTGATAACTATCATTCTGAGACTGAATTATCGGGGGTCTCATTGAGCTGCCGATTAGGACTGGATGATGTTTTCCTATTTTGCAGAGGAAAACACTTTCTTAATTCATGATTTGTTTCTGTATTTCCTCTCACGTTTCATTAGACGTCCGGTGAAAGATTTATCTGATTTGTAGATAGTTAGCATTCAATTGTTATGGGGTGATCGTGAAATTGTATAAAAGAAAATGGAAATGCACTAATATTTGTATATGCCTGAATGTTAACATGTACACGTGTCTCTTTGCACATGTAAATACATGGTCTCGAATAAAGCCACATATAAACTACCTTGTGCAACTGAGCCTGTTAGAACAGATTAAATCACGAAGTGACTAGTGGGGCGATGGGTCGGGTGTGAGTGGAGTGGATGAAACGGCTGGAAGAGGGAGAGTGGTAACAGTATCCAAGCCAATCAGAGAATGAGTAGCGTCCATGGTTGCCATGCCAACATCTCATCCTCATCAAGCACATCCCCCCCCCTTCCCACTCCCACACACAAACACCCATAATACACTCTGTTCACTCTTTAACGTCAGTAGAACACATTGGTTTATTGTCGATTTTTGGTCTAGAGCCAATTCTTGCTGTGAGCAGCTGTTGTATGTGCCCGTCTGTGACTTGGGTCAATTAACTGTTCGTATTTGTGACTGAGGATAATTGCTGTTTAGGTTAGTAACTATGAACAAATATATGTTTGTCTTTGAGACTGAGAATAATTATCTGTACTGGTCTGCGACTGAGGATAATTAACTGATCCTAATTTAACATATATGAGCAAGCACGCAAAAGTTGGAGAATACTCATATACGCACACTTACAGACACACACACACACACACACACACACACACACACACACACACACACACACACACACGACACATAAACACGGAACATACACACGAAACATACACACAAAACACACACACGAACACATGAAAATCATTATTCGTTCGTACGCACACATACACAATCAAAAACCCTAAAAAAAATACAAACACACACACGACCACCTTCACACACAAAAAAACACTTTCACAGATGCACGAAAATTCTCGTACACACATACATAAATACACTCACACATTAACTCGGTGAGAACATACTCGACCACTCGAAAACCCACACCAAGAGCTGCAAGCACTCGCCAGCTTATCTGGACCAACATGCTGCCCATTTAAAACCGGTGACGTCCCCAGCGTATGAGCTATCTGGAATTGATGCACTAACACGCTACCAATCAAGCGTACGCGTATTGTACTCGTTCAAGGTGATGTGATGAAATATTGCACAGTTTTCCAGGTCATTGTATAATGTATTAAAATCACTGCTGTAATTATGAGGCCAAACTACCCATTAGTGGGAGTATTTTTACTGTGCTATTGTTTTTATTTTAATTATATATATTTTTATTACTTTTATTGTTATTGTTATTATTATTATTAATTTATTATTATTCTGACTTTTTTCTGTGCGTAACTTGTTGAAGTTTTCTTTAAAGTTTGCAAAATAGAACTGCACTCTTGTCGTGTGCAGTTCTTCACTTATGTTATAGAAAATACTTGTGATCTTGTTCAGTCGTGTGACGCAAAGGGAAGTTTCCTGAACTGCGTAATAATATCATACGCGTAGCTGCGTGACGCAAGGGAGGTATAACACACACCTGACACTCACATATATAACATAAAATGCTTAACACACTAATACACATTGCTTGAATAAAAAAAACTAAAATAAACTGCAGCAACATCACTATCTTAGAAATGTCACACTATAATAATAATTTTAATTGGCATTAATAATTGTTGAGGAGATTACCCGTGTCTGAGAAATCTCTTAGAAGGACTTTTATCCATGAGTAATACATTAAGGTTTTACAAATGACAGCTTGTGATATCCGAGCTAATATCTACCAACACCGAGGTTCAATATTTGCTTCACTATTTCAAAAGCATAATAGTTCAATGTATTCGTGTCATCAAAGCTTGAATACATAGAAACAATGTGTAAAACGGAGCATATGATATGAGTGATGAAATATGACGTCACCATCACGGTTTAC